TAAAATGTTTTAATTTCTTTCATATATATAGCAGTTACAAAAACAAACATAATGAAATGCTCATAATGAGTAAAAAAAAAAAAAAGGATATATGTTTAAATGATATAAAGATGTCTCTCTCAGCATTCATGGATAATTTTTAAATATTTTATATTATACTTAACAATAAAAGCAAATGGATAATACAAATCTATAAATATTTTGTGCATTATACTTATAAAAATTTAATTAAAATAATATAATTATAGAATAAATTAAAAAAAAGAATTTTTTTAATTCAAAAATAATAAACAAAAAAAAATTAAATGAAAATAGGTATATAAATAAGTAAATACATATATTAATAAATTAAACTAATAATAAACAAGTAAAGATAAGAGATTCACTGCTTAAAATTTATATGAAGGACTATATGCTGCAAATGAAAAAATAGCCGCCGTTACACTAGCTGTAAAATAAAAAAAAAAAAAAAAATATAAATATATATATTTACATACGAAATATAACAATGTTATATACTAAACATTACACATGAACAAAATAGCATATATGCAAATGTATTATAAATTTCATAGGTCAAATGTATCATCTAAAATTCATATGAATACAAAATAAAATTACCCGAAAAAAAAACCGTTATTATCCATGATAAAAACACAGTTCTAAACAGTTTTAAATTTACACATGAGGTGTTTAAAAATGATAAAGAAAATTTTTTCTTTTTTATTTTACTAAAATTTTTTTCTTTATCAACATCTATAGAATCATCTAATATTTTCAAGTTTTTTCTTTTATTTGCTGATATTTTGGCTTCAACTAAACCAACACCAATAACACTAGAAACGGCACAATGTGTAGAACTTAATGGGATACCACATATACTAAAAAATAAGACGATTAACCCTGATATTAGTTCCACAGTAAAACCTCTAGAAGGTGTAATTTTAATAAGTTTCATTCCAACAGTTTTAATAACTTTATATCCTAACAAGGATAATCCTAAGGACATAGATAAACCACCAAATAATAAAATATACCACTGAACTTTTATTTTTCCTTTAATTCCATTATTATATGTATTAAATACAGCTGCAAATGGACCAATTGCATTGGCTGTATCATTTGCACTTTGTGCAACTACACCTAAAATTGCACTTATAATTTGTAATGAAGAGAAAACTATTTCTGTTTCTGGATCAAAATTTTCAATTAAAATTTCCGGTAAATTATTATTTTCTAGTGACTTTTTATCGTCTATTATATCATTTTTAAAATTTATTTTCTTTATATTAATAATATTTTGAAAATCTTTTTCGTGATCATCTTTTTTTTTTTCAATAATTTCACTAGGAATACGTGCATTACTTTGTGTTCCCTGTGTTTCATTTGATGCTACTGAATTTAAGCTACTATTTTTTACATTACAAAAATTCCCTTTATCATTTTTTTCTAAATCAATCATTTCATCTCCATAAATTTTTTTTTTTAAGTGATAATCCCTTATTCTATTTCTATATATAACATAAATAATAAATGAACTAACACATGTTAAAAATATTGATATACCTAAGCATATAAATAAAGAATACAAAACATGAGCTGCGCTCCAATCCTGAAGATAACATGGTGAAGAAATTACTATTATATCATCTTTAAGCATTGTACATCTTATATCTAGCACAATTGGGTTTTGAAACACTAAAAATACACTAAAGGGTAAAGTTATTAAAAAAATTAAAAACCAATATGATCTCTTAATAATAGAAAAAGAGTTATTTCGTCTTAGTATTAATATGCGCAATAAAGAAAAAGCCAAAGCTGAACATGTTCCTGCTAATAATGGAGCTGCAAACCATGAAATAACAATACTATGTATTTTCTCCCATTTTATTGACTTTTTATTTCCTGTAGCTAATCCAAAACCCATCAAAGCCCCTATTATACTGTGTGTTGTTGAAACAGGTATACCAGCAAATGTTGCAACAGCCAACCAAACAGTTGCGCCCATTAAGGCGCAACACATACCCAACATTAAAAATTCAGGTGCATCATAAAATACTTCAAAATTTATAATTTTCGAACGTATTGAATCTGTAACAGTTCCACCTAACAAACTTGCTCCTAATGCTTCAAAAAAAAATGCGACTATGATTGCTTTTTTTACTGATATTGCTTTCGATCCAATAGAAGTACTAAATGTATTTGCTATATCATTGGCTCCTGTAACAAATGCCATAAAAAAACATGCTATACCGCTTGTGATGACTAACCATAACATGTCAGGATTTGTAACCATTTGATTTTCTTATTACCTAATTTACAAAAAAAAAAAAAAAAAAAAAAAAAAAAAAATTATAACCAACAAAAATACATTGAACAAATAATATGAATATGTAAAAATAATGAAAACTTGCTTTATTTTAAAAAGTTATAGTTAAATATAGACTTATATAATAAAATGTAAATAATAAAAAAAAAAAAAATAATACAAATATTTGTCTCTAATAAAATAATATATATAGCATTTTTCTCGTATAATGAAAATAAATATATATAACAGTAATGATTATATATATATATATATAACATAAAATTGTCACTTTTTTTTTTTTTAATTAAAAAATCTCATAAATTCATAATACAAATGTTTCCATAATCTATTAATGAAATTTATATATAATTCAATTTTTAAGTATTTTACAGACAAAATTATTATAAAGAAAAAAAAGATTTAAATCATATGCATAATTTTTTATTTAAGTATTATTCATTCTATTATTTAAAACATACTTATAGTAACAAATTAAGGAAAAATTAGATATACAAATTAAAAATTTAACTATAATCTTCCCCTTACTTTGACCTTCTTTTTTCTTTTTTTACCTTATATTTTTATTCCTTAAAGTAAATCTCTTATCTTTTTATTTTCTTTCTATATAATTTTGAATCTCTTATCTTTTTTTTTTTTTTTATCTTTTTTTTTCTTGACGTAATTAACCTTCTTTTAAGTTATGTTTTAACATCTGCAAATTACAAAGGAAAACAGAAAAAAAAAATTTATTAATTTTCATTTATTACATTAAAAAGTTTATTTACATACACAGATTAAATATGTTAAAATTTTATAAAATGAATATACAAAGTTTAATATGTATGTTTACACTTTTATTATTTTAATCTTTCTATTATAAAAAAAAATTTTTTTTACTCTTTAATTACTATGGTTTAAAAAAATAAATATGTAATACATTATAAGGATATAAAAATAATAAAATATAATTTAGAAGAACGTGTGCATATATATGAAAATTACATAATGTAAAATTTGAAATATTAAAAATTTATAAAAAAAAAAAATATATTTATATATATTACTAAGTTATATTCAATATAAAATGTAGCATGTATTATATTTATTTAAAATTTTTTTTTTTAAGTTTAGGAAAATCAAATATATATAAAAAATTTATATATACATATAAAAATATATATATATATATATATATAAATATTTTTAAGTTATGCATTATGCATGGTAAAAATTAAAAAGTTTATAAATTTTCTTTAAGTTTTATTTTCTTTTTATATCTTACATTTTATGTAATTATATATGTTTTACTTAATAAAAATGCTAATTTTTTATAAATAAATGTCTTAAAAAAATATATATTTTTACTATATAATTTTTAAAAAACTTTTAAAAAGAGTAACATATATAAATATATATAAAGAAAATTTTACATCCCCTTTCAAAAACTTATTTTTATATAAATAATTTTATTTTTTTTTTTTATTTTTGTTTATTTGATTTTAATTTCTTATATATATTATATATATATATATTTATATATATATTTTTTTTTTTTTTTTTTTTTTTTTTTTTTAATAAATATTAAATATGCATTAAAAAAAAAAAACCCATCATTAAATTTTTAACCTTCAAAAAAAAAAAAAATTGCAAGTAGTTAAGAAAAAATGTATGTATATCAATATTTAATTTTTAAAATTTATTACTCCAAAAAAAATAATATAATATATTTTTTTCTTTTTTAAATTAAAAATACTTGTAAATTTATTATAAGTAGTTATTAAGAATTATTAAAAATTTTCAAATTAGATGCAGTATAAATATTGGTTATCAAATTTTGTGTACGAAAAATGAAAGAACGCATAGCATGGAAATATAGACTTTAAAATAAATACCTATCATTTAATTTAAGAGAAAATATCATATTTAATCTTAATTTACTTATTTTATAAAAGAAAAATTAACTTTCCTTTTAAACTCATTTTCTATACCCTCTGAATTATTATAAGATACATACGTATATACTTGTTTTGTTAATTTTTTATAAAAAAATTTTATTTCTTAAATTTAAAAAAATAACCAAAAAAAAAAATGTTCATGGATAAGAACAGTTCCCGAAATTCTATATAATTTATTTTTTTTTTTTTTTATTATATTCGAAAGGCTTATTCTTATTTCTTAAGCTAACTCTTGAATATCTAAAAAAATAAAATATTTTATAGAAAAATTTTTTAAGTAATTCTTTTTTAATTTAAAGAGTATAAAAGTAAAATAAAATTTTTTTTTTAGAAATCTCACTAAATAATTAAATAAAAATATGTTTAATAAATAAATTTATTTATGCATTTTTCATAAGATTTAGATAAAATTTTTTATATTTAAAATTTTAAGTGTAACAGTATTATAAAAATTTAAAATTGAAAAAAATAAAATTTTATATATATTATGATTTCTTTTAAATTAAAAAACGTTTAAACTCGAATGCTTGTGTTCTACGCTTTTTCTTAAAGCTAAATATGACTAATTTTAAATGTATATTTTTTATTATATCAACTCAATTATTATCAAATATAATGAATGAAAAAATGTACATATATAAAAGTCATTAAGTTAAAATATATATATATATATATATATATATATTACGCATATATATTACTTTTAAAGGCTTATTGAGTATATGTATTAAGTAGTAAATGTATGTCAATAGAAATATTGTCTTTGAATTAGTATTTTTGTTTTCAAAAAAATATAAATTTAATTTGCTAATTCTTTATAATCATTTTCAGTTTTATTACCTTCTTTTAAAGTTCATAAAAATAGTAAAATTTTAAGGATAGAAGATAATTTTTTTAAAAATTTAAATATATTTTACATATTTGAAACTTTATCACAACAGTTTTTTAAAATTTCTTTGTTATTTTATATCATTTTTTTTTTTTTATTCATTTTCATTATTTTACATATTTTTTTGGTTCTTTTTAATTTCATAAAATTATCACTTTCTTTAAAACCGTACATCTTAATAAAAAAAAAATATACTATATGTATATTTATTAAGATTTGAAAGATATTATAATTTCTTATTTTTTTCAGTTTCCCTTAAAAGATATTATTTTAAAATGTTTTTTAATTTTGCATAATTTTAAATTAATAATACATACACCAAAAAAAAAAAAACTATTTAAAAAAAAAAAATAAAAGTAACTAATAAATATGTATATTCATTCATATATAATGATTAAAATCAATAATTTTTTGGTGAAACAATTTAACTAACATATATATATATATATAAAGGGATTATTTAATCTCTTTTAAATTTTTCTTGTTGTCCGCTTCAAATTTTAATTTACGGTACAACAAAACACTTTGTACTAATGTATTGGTAGCATGACAAGCAAAAAGTAAGTAATTTTTAGGTCTAATTGCAAGAGAAAAACGCATGAACAATATACTATATACGGATAGGACAGCTGTCATTTTCTCGGAAACATATACAGGTGATTTCATCAAATCATTACAACCTTTTATTAAAAAAAAAAAAAAAAAAAAAAAAAAATATATATATATATATATATATATATATATATATATATATATATATATATATATTTTTAAATATTTAAATAAAATAGCAAATTTTTTAAGTAATAAAAAAAATATTTGTATTTGTAATGAATTAATAAAACTTATATATGATTTCAATAATATATTTAGAAAAAAAATTATACAATATGAAAAATTAAAAATTCATTTCCAACACATAATTTAATGATTTTAATAAAATTTAAATCCACTTAAAATATTGAAAAAATTTACCAGCAAGTACAAAACCCCAATTCGCTAAAGGTGCCCAAAACAAAATGCTAAAAGCATTAGATTTAACTTTATCATAAAATAATTTAAATTTGGACATATTCAATATATTTAATTTAATTTTTATTTTTTTTTTTTTTTAAATATAAAGATTTATAAGATTATAAATTCTAAAAAATACCTTTCATATACACATACGTTTCATATTAATATATAAATACCATTTAAATATTAGGATGAAAGAATATTTTTTTTTTGTTCATATATATACTTCAATGATAAAAATAAATATAAATATATATATATATATATATATATATATATATTTATAAATATATGCAAACTTAAAAGAAAAATGCTGAAAAGGTGTAATTGATATTATAATTTATAAATATTCTTTTAAAAAAAAAAAAAATTAAAATATATTAAAAGAATAAAAATAAACTTTAAGAAAAAAATATATTTTATGCAATAAAAATATGAAAAAATAAAAGAGCAAGATTGCATTTTTAATTTTAGTAAAAATAGTAAAATTTATTAATAATTTTCTTATAGTTACATAATATTATATTACTTAATAATTATATACCTTTAAAGAAAACAAAAAAAAAGGGAATAGCATAATTTTGAAAAATTATTTATATATTTTTATTATATGTTGTACACTAAAGACTGTTTAAAATTTTCATTCATTTAAAAAAAAAAAAAAAAAAGGAAGCACGAAGAAAAAATTTATAAAAATTTTATATAAAAAAGAAATTGGACATTAAACTTTTAACTTTAATTCTTTTTATAAAATTAAAAATATATTATTTATTAGATAAGATGTAAAATAAATAAATTAAATCTAATATTTAAATATACATTTTCAACTTCAGCAAACTTCTTAATTTATAAAATGTCAAGATTTTCATTAACTAAAGAATATACTTTATCGCAAGAAACATTTTTTTTGAAATTATTTATATAAATATATTCTATTATATCTTAAAATTATTTCATAAAAATTCAAGAGAAATAAAATGAGTTATAATAAAATTTTTTTTACATTTCTTATTATCTATAGTTACCTAATTTAAATAATGCTTGAATATTAAAAATTGATCATTTTTTTTTCTTAGTTTTTATATCCAAGTATTTTATTTTCATTTTTATTTTTCATATTTTACAGGAAATTACTCCAAAGCACTATTATATAAAAATGAATAGGACAATAAAATTATATTAGAAGAAAAATTATAATATATTTTCATTAATCTAAAACTTTTGCATATATTCTTTTTCTACATTAATGCATTATTTTATTATTATTTTAAAAATTACTAGTATGCCTTGAACTAAAAGAAACATTTAGCAATATTAAAATTATCATAAGAGAAAAAAATTTAAATACCATTTATGTAAAGAATGTAAACAAAAATGTATTAACAGAAAAGTAATAAGATTATTACATTTATATTAACTTTAATATATATAACTAAATCAGCAACTTATATCTTTTTAAGTGTTTAAAATGCATAAAAGCATCTAATTTCATTTTCATTAATTTTAATTAATAGTAATAAATAATTTTTTATGTATAGAATTTCCAGAATTAGTTTGAGAGTCACACAGTGAAAAAATAAAATATATAAGTATAAATATTTATATAAAAGATTATAATAACAATTTTAATGATACATAAATTTGTTCATGTAAATTTTTATTTTAGGTGTATTTTAAGAATTATTTTTATATTTAAAGCATATAAAGCTACAAAATTCTTTTTAAAATGATTTTTTAAGATACATAAGTTCTAAAAAATAATGTTAAAATATATATATATATATATTTTTTTTTTTTTACTGTATGAAAATAAATATAGGAAAACTGAAATATATTTATTTTTTTCTCTATTTTTTTCTTTTAAATAATTATTCTTTTATTTTTAAATTTTATCTCTTAAAATACAAATATTTATATATTAAATAAAAAAAAAGAGAAAAAAAATATAAATAAAAAATATGCACTGGCTATGAAATAATTAAATCTTTTTATCTGTACGTGTAATACATTTTTTTTGTGTATGATAAGATATATAAAAAAAAAAAAAAAAATACAAAAAAAGTAAAATGTAAATTACTAAAAAAAAAAATAAATAAATAAAAATAAAAATGCTAAAAAAAAATAAAATAAATAAAATAAAATAATGAAATTTAAGAAGAAATAATATATGAAAGTATGAAAATTATATATATCATAACTTTTTAGGTTTTAACTTTTTCTCCCTTTTCTTTCTTTAAGTTTATTGTATTGTTTTAATATATATGTACATTTTTATTTTTTTACTTTTTATTAAAATCTTTAATAATTTACTTTTTACAATCTATATTTAACTTTTTTTTCAATTGTGAAATAAAAATATATATTATTTTTACAAAGTAGTAGTAAAATTATTACTTTTGATAATAATTATATTTTTAATAATAAATTTCATCAGAACAATATTTTTTAGTTAATTAAAATAATTAGAAGGTAATTAAAAACTTCTCAAGTTGTAAAATGAAGTAGTTCAGAAAATAATCTAAAAGTCCTATTATTAATATATTTCTTATTAATTACTTTTTATAGTTTTATTAGCATTCATTTAAATATTAATATATGCACACCCCTTTTATACATGAAAATTCAGATAAATATGTTACACCAAAAAGTCGAAATATATACATATATATATCTGTAGGAAAATAAAATATAAAAATAAAAAAAAAAGAAAATTTTACTATAAGTGAATACAAAAATAAATAGATAAAAAAACAAATAAAAAGATAAATATTTTATCAGATTACTTTAAATATTTTTTCGAATATTAGAGAATAAAATTTAAAAAGATAATGCTTATAATATCTTTTAGTTTTTAATTTTGTATAATTATTAATCTTTTTGTTTTCTCAAAAAAAGAAAAAACAATAAAATTAAAAGTAAAAATATATTTGACAATATTTTTTTCCATATTTAACAAGTCAAGTTTTTAGCTAAAAATCAGTATCTCATTAACTTTTAACATATTTAGCATTCTAGATTTTATTTTCAGTAATTTCATTCCTTTATTCTAATTATATAAATTCATTTGATTTATTTCTATGAAATTTCAATTATCATCTTATTTTTTTTTTTTTTTATAGAAAAATGTCAAATGAAGAATATGATCATCTTTATAAAATAATTTTAGTTGGAGATGCAACTGTAGGTAAAATAAAGAAACGAATATATTTATGCATTATATTTACATAAAAGTTTTATATGCTTTTTCTTTAAATTTTATTATTTATTTTTTTTTTTAATATTTTTTATTATGTATATATATATTTGCTATTTTTTAATTATTCAGGTAAGACACATTTATTGTCAAGATATATAAGAGGTTCTCTTCCTAGTGTTTCAAAAGCAACAATTGGTAAAAAAAAAAAATAATTATAAATTAATAAATTAAAAAAATAAGAAATATAATATATAAAAAAATATATTTAGCTATTTATATGCTATTTAATTATTTTATAACTCTCCTTTTTTTTTTTTTTTTTTTAGGTGTCGAATTTGCTACAAGAACTATCCCATTAGCAGTAGGAGGAACAGTAAAAGCTCAAGTAATTTTTTTTGATGAAATTAAAATAATATTAATAAAAATTTTTTTTTTTTTTTTTTTATTGTTATATTTGAATACATATAACTTTTTTCTTTTTCATATATACAGATATGGGATACCGCTGGTCAAGAAAGATATAGAAGTATAACAAGTGCTCATTATAGAAGAAGTGCTGGGGCTATATTAGTTTACGATATAACAAAAAAGAAAACGTTTTTGAGTATTTCTAAATGGTTAGAAGAAATTAGACAAAATGCTGACAAAGATATAGTAATTATGTTAGTTGGTAATAAAGTAGATCTTACCGAACAGGACGAAAGTAAAAGAAAAGTAAGCATATAAATCTTTTTATTTTAAGTACTATTTTTATTTTTTTATAAATATTAAAAAAAAATAATTCATATTTAGGTTACATATGAACAAGGAGCTAATTTTGCAAAGGAAAACAACTTATTTTTTGCTGAGACTTCAGCTGTTTCAAAATTAAATGTAAAGCATATATTTGAAAGTCTATTACAAGAAATATATAATAATAGATTAAAAAATAATAACGGGAGTTTTAGTAACAGAAGCAATGCTACATGTGAAAGTGCAATACAACTAACTAAGGCTCAAAGTGTTATCAAGTTAAATGATAAAAATGAAAATGAAATCGAAGAGGATAATAAAAATAAAGTGAAATGCTGCTAAATTAAAGATTATTTCGTATAAGTATATTTTTTAGACTAAATAAAAATTAAAAAAAAAAAAAAAGAAATAAAAAATTATGGAAAATAAGGAGAATTGTTAACGTAAAATTTTAATTAATTTATGCACTTATGCAGCCTTCATCAATTGAATTGTTGGAAAATTAACATAATAATATATTAATTTTTTTATTTATCATAATAAGTTTTTTTTTATATTTCTATATCTTTGTCTAGCTAAATTGTACAATTATTTTTTTTTTTTCATTTTTATTACGAAATATATTTCTTCTATTTCTTCTTTTTCTTTATTTATTTGTTCTATATTCTTCTACATTTTTATTTTTTTTTTTTTTTTTTTTTTTTTTTTTTTTTTTTTTTTTTTTTTTTTTTTTGTCATAATGTTGTATTAACATATTTATTTACTTATAAATTTTTTCAAGTATTATTCTAAAATTCATTTATGTATTAATTTATATAAACTTTCTTTTTTTCCCTCCTCTATCTATTTCCTTTTTTTTTTTTTTTTTGAACTTATTTTTACCGCTTTTTTATATTTAAATATGATACATTATCTTTACCATATATATTACTATTAACTCGTCTTCTAAAAAATTAAGCTTTCCTTCAATATATATGAAATTTCAGTTTTTTAATAAAATATAAGCTTTTATTTAAAAGAAAATTTTAATGTTATTAATATATAAAATTAAATTCATAACACTTATTATCTTATAAACATATAAATAATACTACCATAATGAGATTGAATCATTTTTTATATATAAAAAATTTTACTTCGTATAAATGTATTCTTATTATAATAGAACATAAAAAAGGTGTTCAAAAAATTCCAAAATTTCGTCCGTTTTTTCATCTATAAATTTTCTTATATATTTAGAATAATTAAATATTTAATACATAAAAATATAGAAAAAAAAAGTAAAAAAAAAAAAATATGAAAAACAAAAAAAAAAAAAAAATAAATACTATTATAATTGTAAAAATAAAAGATTAAATATAATATATATCGAAATAGTTTTAAAGTTTTTTGTTTTTACATAGGCATAAAATTGTTTGCTATGTTTTTTTTATTTCACTAGGAAAAACTTTTTAAAATAAACTTTATAATTTTTAAAATTTTAACATTTACTAATATATTTTTTTTTTCTTATATATATGTAATATAAAAACATTAGCAAAAGTAAAATATTTAAACATTGTAATTTTATAGTAATTTATATATATATATATATTTTTTTTTTTCATATTTTTAAATAATGTATTGCAATAAACTCTAAAACACTTTCGGTTTATATATATTTATTTTTTTTTTTTTTTTTTTATGCAAATATAAAACAACATTCCCTTATATAAAATTTTTAATTCTTCATGAACAATTTTTATTTTTTAAGTAAAATTCAAAATAAAAATATATTTATAAACTGGTAATTTAACTTTTTTCCATATCTTTTTTCAATTTTATTATTTTAATTTAAAAGAATTTTTTTATGTTTATCTAATATACATTTTCTCGAAGAAAAATATATTTTTTGTTGTAATTTTCATGTATTTTTAAAATTTATTACATTCCCTTTTTTTTTTTTTTTTTTAGTTTTATCCTTTCTTTATTTGCTTAATCATATATATATGTTTTTTTTTATAGTAAATGATTTATTATATTCTAGGTTTAAAAAAAATAAAATATGTTATCTAAATTTATTTTGAAAATTAAATAACATTTAAATAAAGTAAAAATATCTTTCAAAATTTTTTTAATATCTTTTGTTTTTTACTGAGTACAATTTTAAAATATATATATATACTTACATATATTTTTTATTTTTTATATTATTGGTTATTATCATTAAATAATTATATGCGAGTATATACCTTATGATCTTATTTTTTATAATATTATATTATAATTAATATTTATCTTTTAAAGAAATAAATTAATATTTTTTTTCTTCTTATTTAAAAATAAATATATATATATATATATATTTATATTTTTAAAAAAAAAAGAAAAAGAAATTTAGATAAAAAAGTATTAAAAAAAATGATTATAGCAATTGTAGGATGTACTCATGGAGAATTGAATTTAATTTATTCATCACTTAGCAAAATAGAAGAAGAAAATAATTTCAAAGTGGATTTATTAATTTGTTGTGGTGATTTTGAATGTGTAAGAAATAGTGTAGATAATGAATGTTTAAATGTCCCAAATAAATATAAAAAAGAAGAAAATGATTTTAAAGATTACTATACAGGAAAAAAAAAAGCAAAAGTGTTAACTGTATTTGTTGGTGGAAACCATGAAGCTATGAATGTATTAAAACAATTATATTATGGTGGATGGGTAGCACCTAATATTTATTTTTTAGGATATTCTAATGTTCATAATATAAACAATTTAAGAATAGGGAATCTTAGTGGAATATATAAAAAATATAATTATTATAAAAAATATTGTGAATGGTATCCATATAATGAGCTAACTAAAGTAAGTGCTTATCATATCCGTAAATACGAAATAGAAAAATTAAAATTAATAAAAGAAAAAATGGATATTGTGATTACACATGATTGGCCCAATAATATAGAAAAACATGGAGATATTAATGATCTTCTAAGAAGGAAATATCATTTTCAATCTGACATTTATAATAATACCTTAGGTAATCCGCATACAGAAATTTTACTAAATAAATTAAAACCACAATTTTGGTTCGCTTCTCATTTACATGTTAAATATTCTGCTATCTATTTACACAATGATCAAACTAATTATACAAGATTTCTTTCTTTAGATAAAGCACAACCACATAAGCATTTTTTGCAAATTTTAAATATTGAAAAAAAAAATGATATTTTACATCTTAATTTTAATCATTTGTCTAATCTTAATACTAATAATCAAAGTGTTAAAAACGATACTTTTTACGATCAACATGATAAAAATTCAGAAAATCAACAAATTTCACATAAAGAAGATTCACTATTAGATAAAAATGAAAACATAGAATTGAATAATGAGAATAGTCTTATTAATACTAATAATAATTATGAAATAATGTCAAAAGAAGATAAAGATAATTTTCAAGAAAAAAAGTTAAACGAAAATGAAAATCCTAATTATGAAGAAGAACAATTAATAAAAAATAAAGAAAATGAAATAAAAGGTGAAATAAAAGAAGAAAAAGAGGAAATTGAAATAAAAGGAAAAAATGAAATAGAAATAATAAAAGAAGATGAAGAAAAAGCACAAGTAGAAGAAGAAAAAGAAAAAGATGAAGATAAATTTGTAGAACAGAAAACAACAAAAAAAGAGCAAGAACAAAAAGAAGAACAAAAAGAAGAACAAGAACAAAAACAAGAACAAGAAAATGAAAATGAAAATGAAATAAAAAAGGAAAAAGAGGAAACTGAAGAGAAAGTAGTAAATTCTACAAAAAATTGTGAAAATATAGATTTTAATAATAATATAGAAAACAAGATTAAAAGTGAAGATTTTAAGAATGAGGAATCAGTAGAATATAACATTAATAAAGATAAAAAATGTTATATATGTTACGACTTAGAATGGCTTGCTATTTTAAAAGCAAATCATCATTTTATTTCAGTTAGTAGTTCTAAAGATTATAATTTAGAAGACCTGAAATATCCAACAAAAGAAGATTTTCAATTTGTTGAAGATAAACTAAAGAACATAGATAAAATAACAATTGATAATAAGGATTATTTTTTAGTTCATGGATATAACAAACCCAATTATAAAAATTTATATGAACAACGACAACTTTTTTTAAAACGATTTGAATTGGAAGAGTTAAATATTTACAATGAATGCGAATTTAATTTTTTTAACGAAGAAATAAAATCTCTAGAATCAACAGAAAACGTTGAAAATTTAAATGAACAAAATGAAGTTTGCGTAAGTTTGGATAATCAATCATAGAAATATAAAATTATAAGTAAATAATTTCTTCTCCTTCTTTTTTTTATTCTTTATAATATATTTAGTAAATATATATTTTTTTATAACAGTACGTGATGATTTTTTTTGTCAATAAAAATCGTATTTTTCATATATATCTCTTTCATTTTTTTTTTTTTTTTTTTTTATGAATTAAAAATTAAAATTTTACTTTAATATCTATATATGCAAAGAAAAATAAATAAATAAATAAATAGTTGTAATATATTTTTCTCTTATTAATTACCCTATATAAAGATTTAAGACACATTTATTCTTGTTTTTCTTAATATATTTTTATTTTTTAATTTATATACATATATTTTATAGTATAATAATTTGTTATTAAAAAATTTTAAATGATAAAAAAAATAAAAAAAAAAGTTATACTTTTATTTTTAATTTTCTTTTATCATTTTTAATATATATTTTTGTTTAAATTTCTTTATTATATATATTGAGATAAATATAAGTGTATTATTAAATAATTAAAATTGTAAAATTATTTAAATATAAAATTTGATATATTATAAATGTATATATATTTATATAATTTTAATAGGTTACCTCTTATTTTTATTTTATTCTCTTATTTTTATTTTTTATAGAAAATAAAACAATAGTTTCATTTATAGTAAAGTGATTAATAAAATTTTATGTTCCATGAATTTTTTTTTTATAAGATTTAATTTTAAGAAACTTATTTTGAAGATTACACATTTTTAAAATTATTTTTATCATAAACATCTTGTAAAATAAATCTTCACTTGACTTCAAAATTTTAGATAAAATTTTAATTATAATAATATAGTCAATAAAAAAAAAAATATATGGTTTAACATAGATTATTGATTTTGTTTTTCATTAGTTTTTAATTGAATAAAATTATAAAAACTAAAATAAAATAATATATAGAAATATATAATTTTTTTTTAATTTAAGAATTAAAATAAAAAGCATTATAATTTTAACATACCAAATATGTATATAAGACAAACAGGTGTTTTCTAATAACAGTATCAACATATACATTAACAGTTAACAAATATTAAGTGTTTTCCATTTTCCTTCTCTTTTTATTTTTAAATGTGTATTTACATCTTTTTTTTTTTTTTTTTTTTTTTTTTTTTTTAAAAAAAAAANATTAACAGTTAACAAATATTAAGTGTTTTCCATTTTCCTTCTCTTTTTATTTTTAAATGTGTATTTACATCTTTTTTTTTTTTTTTTTTTTTTTTTTTTTTTTCATAAGACAACTATGAATAAATATACAGCAATATTTAACTCACATATATCTCTATAAAAAAAAGTAAAATGAAAAGAACAAACAAGTGCAAAATAAGTTACGTGCATACATATTATAATTCTGTAGAGATATATATTTGTTAATTATTTATATAATAATAAATATGAACTATTATTTTTAAAATGTATTCAAAAATATCCTAATATTTTTTAAAATAAAAATTGTATTTTGTAATTTTTTTTTTTTGTTTTTATGTCTATTATTCTACAATTTTCTTTTCTTTTTTTATTTTTTATATTTGAATTAATCCCTAAAAATAAATAAACTTTATATTAATTTACTGCAACTTTATAACAAATGTTTGAACAAATAAAAGTAAAAAAAGAAAAATATCGTTGTATAATAACTAGTACTTTATTATTTCTTATTCAAATAGTATATTAAATGTATATATATATATATAGTGATTTAAATCAATAATATTATTTAAAATAACATTCAAAAAATTTATAATTATGTATATAATTTAAAAAATAAAAAGTTTACAATATCTTCTTTTTAATATATGTGCACCATTTTCCCCCTTATCATGATTAGTTAAATATGAGGAGAAGCATTAATGAAAAAAGGGATACTATTAGCCTAAATCGTAAAATAGATACAAATATTCAGAAAAGTATAAGTAAATATTGCGTTACATCAAAAAGAAAATATAATTTTCAAAGAATTAAAAAATATAAACATAAATTCAAAGAAAATCTAGAATATACAAAAATGAAAAACAATTTGAAAAACAACATTCATACAATAAACAGACAAAGAACAAATTTAAAAAAAACTGTATGTAAGGATGATATATTAAATAAAAATAATATAAATAGTAAATTTTCTATTAACAATATAAAAAAAGAAGGAAACAGTGAAAAAGAAAAAGAAAACTACAAAATGTGTAAAAATGATAATGTATTTGATTATAAAAAATACTATGAAAGAGTAGATCAGTGGAAAAAAAAAAGGTGTATCTACTTCAATAATGAAAACAAAATAAAAAAAAAAGAAATACATTTAGAAAATAAAAAAAGAAGTTTAAGGGAAATATTAAATATTACTGAACCAAAAAAGAACACAAAAAGAAACTGTAATAAATACGAAAGTTCCTTAAATCAACAAAAAACCACAAATAAAACGATAAATAAATTAAATGAAATACAGCTTAAAAAAAAGAATGTGAAATCTTCAAAAAACGAGATAAATATTAATAATTATATAAATTATAATGATATTAATGGAAATAATGAAAATAACTACGATAAATATAAGAAAAATGTTGTCCCTATATATGACAGTGGTAATTATCAAGGTTATAATATTGATAATAAAACTGATAATATTTCTAATAACTATATAAATTATAGCAATAATAATAATAGACATGAGATCATATCTCATAACAATTCTCCTTCTTTCAAATTGCCTAACAATAAAATCAGAATTACAAATAAAAATAAAAGAAATATATATTGTATAGGTAAAATTAAATCAAGTGATACAATGTTAGAAAATGAAGAGAAAAATATATATTCAAATAAAACAATAACAGATACTTTTGATTATATAGATTGTTTTAATAATTTTGCAACTAATCCTACTTTCCTCATAAAGTCTAATGAAACAATTTTCCATGCACCTTTAAAAAGTAATTTAAATAATGTTGAAAATAAATCAAATTTTAATTTGTTTGATAAAACAAACATAAAAAAAAGTTATACTAACTATAGTACTAAAGTAAGAACTATTCCTAATTTAAATATGGAACAACCTGCACAAAATGAAAAAATACGAAAAAATAAGAAAGAGAACTCTTTTAAGGGTATATTAAAAAATGAGTATTTAGATAATGGTTGTAAAATAAAAATACTAAAATATACAAATAATATGAATATAACAAATATGCAAAACAAATTAGAAAATGAAATAAAAAAAAATGAAAACATGAAAAGTTGTAAAAATTCTTATATTAATTATAAAGGGGAATACTTAATAAATTTTCATAATGAGGAAGAAATGAAAAAAAAAAAGAAGCAACTATTAAAAAATGTAAAAACTAGTATATATAATGAAAGGAATATTTTTACAAATAATCATACAAGATATAATAATAATGATAATTTTCTAATTAAAAATGAATTAGTAAATAATAACAAAAAAGATATATACAAGCCATCATATACCTTAAATAATTGTAATGTTTCATCTATTTTAAATATAAAAAATCCTTTCACATGTGTATACAAAAATGTGAAATCATTTAAAAATTTTATAGTTGATAAGAAAGAGGTAAATAAAGAAAAAGGTTATTGCACATCTAATAACATAACCTTATGTGATAAAAAAAAATATATATCTGAAAATATTAGAAAACATTTATCCTATATGAATATTAATAAAAAGCAAGAAAAAAACATTAAAAATAGTAAGGTACTGGAAATTGAAGGAGATAAAATTTACCCTAATGAAAACCTTTTGTTTAAAAATAATATTCAAATAGAGCAAAATACTTTTAAAAATTTTAATTTAGATATGGAAAGTTACGATATGAAACATAGTATATTCGAATGCAAAAAAAATGCTGAAGAAAATTTCAAAAATAAAAAGTATTTAAAAAAATTAAACAAATTTCACAAAAAAAAAAAAGAAAAGAATTTAATTAGTCTTGAAAATTCTCATAAAATAGAAAAAGAAAAATTATGTTCTGATAATAATTATAGATCTTTAGATTTAAATAATGAATTATTAAATGTTAATAAACATAAAAAACTAGTTCATATAGAAGAAAAAGACATAAAGAGAAATTTTGATATATTTTTATGTTTATTCATGAAATACGAAAAAAACGAGTCTTTCCTTTTTTGCTTAATATCTGATGAAGAATTAACGAAATATTCCTTTTTTTATCACAATTATATAAAACCATTTTTAGATGACTATAAAAAATCTAAACTCGAAAAGTTAAAAAAGGAAGAAGGAAATTCAGCATTTAGAGATTATAATTGTATAAGTTTAAATAAAATAATTTTAGAAATTATGATCCCATCAATAAGGAATAATTACCTAAAATATTTAAATGAGCTGTATAATAAAAAAGAAAATAATACTGATATCAGTTCTTCCGATGAATTACAAAAAGAAATAAGAGAAATCAATAAAAAAATAAAAAATTTTGAAATAAGGTCACTTGATAAACATAAAAAAGAAATATCTATTAAATCCATTTGTAATTATGAAAATAAAATAAAATTACTTGAAAAACCGAAATGGAGCAATAAAAGAAATTTAAAAAAACTATTAAGAAAACAACAAAATTATAATCCCTTTACTATTTTTGGTACAAGTATAAAAGAAGTAAATCTAGAAGAAATATTTACTTTAGAGGTTTATAATAATTATGTTACAAATGAAGATAGATTTCAAAATAAAATATTACATGAATTATATGTCGGAGATTATATAAAAAATTTGTATAAAAAAATAGACTGTAGCGAGTGGTTTTTTGTTTTAGATTCTTTAAAAAAAAATTGGAAATATTTTGCTAATCTTGAATGCAACATGCTTCTAGATCCACTATTATTAGAAGAAATTTTATGGTATATAGATAATAATAAGATGTACAAGGATAAAAGCAAGGAAATATATATTTATGAAACTTGCTTTTGCCCTACACCTGATCCAGCTAAAGAAATTAATTTAAACGATGCAAAACATTTTTACAAATCAATGGCTAGTAAATATACTTCTCATAATGAAATGAAACATAAAAAATTATCATTAAATGAAGAAAATTCTTATTCCAGTAACTTAATATTTAAATATGATGATATGAATAGAGAACATACATCTTTATATATGAAAAAAAAAAAAGAAATACTAACAAAAGAAAATTTATTTTTTAATATCCCTCGGCCTTCTAGTGCAATATATTATAATTCAGACTTTTTTCAGAACAAAGTAAAAAAACATACTTGCGACAAAAAAATAAAAACTAATAATCAATTTAATGTAGTGTCACCAAAATGTGTAGAAGACGCATATTTTCCAAAGTTTAAATCAAAGAAATGGATTTCACAAAAATTTTTTGATAATTTTTTTTTAAATTATTATCTATATAATTTCAATGGAAGTAACCGCAAATATAATTCTGTTATTTAATATTCTTGACTTTTTTATTTTCAAATGTTCTTTTCATTTTAGAAATACAAGTATAAAAAAAAATGTCAGAATGTTTTTTAAAAAATATATATGTATGAATATGTACTTGTTAATAATTTTCATTTATTTTTCTTTTGTAAAAATTATTTTTTTGTATTTAAATATCTTTCTAAATACCATAAAAATGTTGTAGATGGTGATATATTTAAAATTTAGTTTAATTTATATTATTATGATCTCTATTTTTATAAGTGATATTTTTTTTATTTATTTGAAAACATTTTACCCTATAATGTTTCTTTTATTTTCTTTATTACTCAAAAAACAATATAGTAATTATCTCTTTGTTTATATATACTTCTATGTAGGCATAAGTAAAGTGAATATGTTTTTACAATTTTAAAATAAAGGTACATTTTATATGATAAATTTCTGTAATATAATGTATTTATCAGTGTAATAATTTTTTAATTGAAGAAAGTATATTATTTATGCTAAAATATACAAAAATGTTTTTAAAATGAATTAAATATAATTGCAGAGAACATGAATATACTGTTTTCTTTTAATTATCATATAATTTAATAGATATATATTTTTATAGTTATTCAATATAAATGTTAAAATTTTCAAAAGTGGTATTATATGAGATAATAAAATCATAGTAATTATGCTAGATTGCTTTTTCAAGCATACATAAAAAATGCGTATTCTATTATTTCTCATAAGACAATCAATGATGAATAAATGTTTCTTAAAATTTATCTTCATAATAAATATATAATATAAAATTCTTAAAATATTTCAAAAGTTACATAAAAAAAAAAAAAATTTGAATGAAAACATATTGGTAAAGAACAGAGTATCATTTTACATTAAACAGCATGATTGTAATGTTTTAATTTTTGTGTAATTTAAGACTATTACTATATTTGTTTCAATAATTTCAATTTAAAGTGTTTGTAAAATATTATTTTACAAGAGGTTAAAAGAAAAAAAATAAATAGGTGATATTTTTTACACTTTCACTATTTTTATTTGTAGTTATGTATGCATATCTTAAAAATATTATCAATTTTTTATTTTCGATTACGATGAAGTTTCACATTAAGAGAATCATTCATTGAATTATATGGAAAATGTATTAATGTTCATGTATATAATTTATTTTTTTTTTTTTTTTTTTTTTTTTTTAACTTTTT